GTTGCGCTACTCAGGGATCACTTTGGCCAGTGTGCTGTGGAAGAGCTAAGTTGCGCTACTCAGGGATCACTTTGGCCAGTGTGCTGTGGAAGAGCTAAGTTGGGCTACCGGGCGTACTGAAGTCCAATCTTCTAAAAATCTAACAACCCCACAGTCCTACGGGTGGGGAAAAATTGAACTTCAAGGTTTGAGGCGCCGTGATTTCGCAAGTCGCGTCTTTCTTCTATGAGTTCTGGTAACATGTGGTTTCTTCTTTTTGTTTTGGAGCAGTTCTCAATGTACTTCTAGCTGCTTGCGGGATGCTGCTGGCGAAGACATCATAGCACAGCGGACCTGTTGAAACTAAAGTCAGTAGAAATTGGTGTTGAAGTTGAGCCATTGTTCCAAAGTCGGCTGTTCAAACTTGCCAAAGTGATCAGCATCCCGCATCTGTTGACAAGGCACCAGCTCCAATCCAGCCTCGAGCACAAGGTGGTCAGAATCGAACTCAATGTCTCCTCGGCTTTATACATCTACGCAACTCTTTTTTCCAAGCCAACCAAAAAATCCAGCTGGGCATATCGATGAGCATCGAAAGGGGGACCAAAGTCAGAAGAGTTCGTCTTCTCTTTGTATGTCATCAACTTTTCAGGCGGCTTGGAAAACTGAGCGTTCAAAATTCTTAGGTGACGCATGTTGCAAAATCCAAGGAAAAGAGCGCTACTTTCCTTTTCGTTCCGCTTAAATATTCTATACCCCGTCCGAGAATTGTGGGCCACATAATCAGTGTCAGTTTCCCTTACAAAATGGATTCGGGCATTGAAATCACCACCGAGAAAACCCCCCATGAATATCCATCATAGAATTTGACAGTTCGTCTCGTAATTACTATGTTGGGCATAAACAGCAAGTAGTGTAACATCAACTCCGTATGAAGCAAAAGTTAACGTCATAGCTCTACGATTTATCTGTTTTACATTCTTTACGGCGCTCAGTGAAGTGTTTTTCACCACAATAGCAACCCCTGCGTTCTCAAAGTCCGCGTCCAAGCGGTAATTTCCAGGCATGTTCCTATTTGCTCCCACGAGGCGTCTGTTTTCTTGTTTTTTCAAACCACCCCAAGTTTCGACATTACTAGAGTTCACAATTTGTTTCGGTCAGTTAAAGGATTTCTACCTGCTCCTTAGCTCCTTGTTCATATTGTTAACTAATGTCTCGCATTTGGTTACGTGATTAAGCCCTAACGTTCAACGTCGCAACCTTGAGGTGCTGGCTGTTCCGCAGCTTGGCTAGGCTGCTGGAGTTTTTGTTTGCTATTACAAAATCAGAAGTGGAAGAATTTTCCCTCAAGGTTGCGCAGAAGATCGAAAGTGTGTTTTTTGCAAGAGCCTGTTAGATTTGAACCAAGTTTTGCATTGGCAACGTATTTTGTGTGTTGTTGCTTGAGACATGAGCTCTCTCTTTGAGAGAGTAGACTTCCGCAAAAACTGCCTGGCTACTCTAGGGGAAATCGGTCAGCCCAGATGGCCCTGTCCCGGTATGTGTGGTCTTCTTGCACTCTTTGCACCAGAGGGTGGGGAAGGTTTGTCTTGTCTTTCTTCTAAGTAGCATTCTTTCCCGCTCTCTGGGTGGCTCTTGACACGCAGTTGTTGCCTCAGGTCTTGTTGCCTCTCGTGTTGCCTCTTGTGTTGCCTGACGCCCGGCCGTATCGGACTTCTGTGTCTCGAGACTTGTTGCCTGCATCTGTGTGTCTGTTGTACCTGTTTGCTTTTTTTGTGCGTTTGTAGCCTCAGAGTCCTTTGCTTTGTTGAATTGCTGCTGTGGCTTGCTGCGGGGAGTCCCTCCTCCGCAGTTGAAGGCTTTTCGTCTTCCAGCCCGGCAGCTGCAAATGTCATGGCATGTGGGTAACGGTTGTCTGATGGATAGCGGGGGTGGTCCTTATGCACTTCTTTCCATGCCTCGTGCCAGTAATTGCGAAGTGTGTCAACAAGATCTCCTCGGGCAATGAGTGCTAACACTCCTCTGTCCTTGTCGTAGGTGACTTTTGCTATCAGCTTCTTTTCCTGCAAGTCGTAGGGTTGCTTGTCAGTTGTTCGGTGTGCTAGTCGGCCTGCTTCTGTGTCTGGTGCTCCTGGCTGGCCTGTGAGTATGTGCAGGGCTGTGGTGAGAGCCATGTTGATAACCAAGTCAGCTTTGCCTAGGTAGTTTGTAATGACTATCTTGTGCCATCCTCCTTTCCAGTGCTGAGGCGGTTCCCTTCACTATCCCAGTAGTGTAGGGGGCGTTTTCCTGAGAAGCTGGTGTAAGCAAATCGTTCGAATGTCTGTTGCGTGTTGGTGTCTTCAATTTCACCACTGTGACTGGTGAGGGCGTGAATCGCCATGCTGCTGCGTAATAGCCGTGCTCTTGCTTTGTGTGTTGTTGAACTTGTGCTTTCTGCAGCAGCCAGTCTGTGATACGAACTCTGTCCCAGTATGTTGCTTCTTTGGGCCAAGACTTGATTCTTGATGATCATCTTGAAGCCGTTTTCTCTGGATTCTCTTTCATCACAAGTCGTGTCGGACATGCCCCTAAGGTCGCCGATCTGGTCATCATGTCTGTTTGCACTGTCTGTGAGTTTCTGCACTTGTTGCAGTGCTTCCTGTTGGCTGCTCATCTGGTCTGTGGAGCTGGCCCCTGCATTTTTGAGCTCTTCTAACTCTTGTTTCACCTGGATGCTAAGTGCCTGCATTTGTCGAAAGTAATTCTTGCGTTTCTTCTTCGGCGTCTCTCTTTGATCTTCTCTCTGTCTTGCCATCTGTTGCTTCGATCTCTTTCAGTGCTCTGTGTGGTGTTGCTGCAATTTGGTAGAGGGCGGATGATGTCGCAGATCCTTTCTTCTCTTGGTAGAGACCTGCCGTTGCGTTGCTTCTGCCTTTCTTCTTGTCCTGCCGTCTCCGCATCTGCTGAATTGAAATCAATGGTCTTCCTTTCAGGCGTCATGTTTGCTTTGTCTCTTTCTCTGTGATGTTCTTCCCCTCCTCAGCTTCTGTCTTCTTCTCTTCTCTTTTCTATCCTTTTCTTATTAAATAGGTGCATCTTCACTGGTTAACTAACCTAAGCTTGCATGGCTACATAGAATTGAATGCTCTAGTTTCGGGCCCAAGCCCCTAATAGATCACAATGTTTGATCACAAGCAGCGTGACCCCTAAGCCCAAGCACAAGGATCCAAAACCCTGCGTCGCTTTGCCTGGTTGTGCACAAGATAGAAGGGCTTGGAAGAACCTGGATGAAACAGTTGGACTTGCACTTGCAAAATTAAGCGGCTGCCTCTGTGCGAGTGGCTTCCTACTTGGGTGCTTCTGCTGCTGCCTTGCAAAGCGTGTTGCTGCATATCTCTGCCCTGGAATCCCTGGAACTACCTTTTTTCCACAAGACTTCGAATCATGAGGGGCTCCATCGGCGCTTTGCAACCCCTCTCGCTGCCTCTGCAAAGAGAAATTGCAGCAGCCCACCACAGGTGCATTTCGCAACGCCACCGACCCTGACATGGACGAAAAAGTCGATGTGGCGCTTTACGTCGCAGTTGCTGTCTGTGACGTGCACAACTTGAGGTTGACTTGCTTCCTGAAACATCAGGGAGTTCGACCCCCTTGGGGCCCATGGGGCCCCCGAAGAACCAAAAAGGACCATGCTCACACTTATCAAAGAACAGATGCGCTTCTCCACGGTGCGTCGGGCACGACTTCTTCCTGCGCGCCCGGCCTCCGCCAACGCAGTCTCAGCGGTGTCGTCAGCCTTGGCTTCGCACGGTGAGCATGCAAGACAAGCCCTGTTTGTTTAAGTTTATGGCCCGCTGTTCCAATCGCCAATTTGTTTTGGTTAGGGTGTTCACCCATGCCAGGGGCACTTCGTCATCAGTCACCTGATTCGAGCTGCAGCCGTTGGACAGCCCGCGGCGGGAAAGCAATAAACTTGGTTTTAGTAATTGGAGAGTCCTGGGTTTGCATCTTTCTTCCGCATGTTTTCCTTTTTTTCGGGCTTGGCTTTCTTTTGGATTTGTCTGAGTGGTGTTCTTGGAATGCGGGGGTGTTCTCGGAGAAAAAAGGGACGGTCGTGCGCCTTGTGGTCACGTAGCCAGCCCTTGACACGCTTGACCCCTGGGTGTGTGGCTCCAACGCCACCAGCAATGTCATGTCTGATAAAACATGTGGTGATGCATGCATGTATCTGTGTGTTTGATTGTTTGTTTGTACATACGCATGCCCTGATGTCGTTGTAAAATGACTTTGGCGACCTGTCGAGTCAGCACGCATCCTCCAGTGACCCGCCCTAGATGAGTCGGTCATCCAGGAATCGTGATCATACGCTTGATCATACGTTTGATGGACAGTCTGATGCAAAGGGTCGGACAACAAGTCCAGCAGGACCCACAAGTGTGAAACGGTTGGTGAATGGACGTCCGGAATCACCTCTAAGGGGCTGTTCATCATTTGTTTATGATACACAGCTCCTGGGTAGAAGTCTTGAACGAATAGCTTTTGAAGATATGTGTCTACAATTTTCTCTAGACCTCATATGACCTCCACGTGCACCCCCCAGGAAATGTCGAGCCTGGGTTGTCAGAACAATCATTGACAATCCCTTTCAACTTGTCCATCAACTCTACGATCTGATCTGCCCGGCTGAAGGCCACAGCAGCTCTTCACGAGCCACCTGGTCGAGCCGGTTCGCTGCATCTCATGGCGTCAACCTTCGGTGGAAGGCGGTGGAAAGCCACCGTGAAAACAAGGGACCACGACGGGAGAGAAACCTGGTTGTTCGGTGGGGTTCTCGTGTCTATCCATCTATTTATCTATCTATCTAAGTAGCATAGAACCCGAAAAGGAGCCAAGCACACTACAAATGGCAAGCGGGGTCTACGGGAAATGGCCTAGGCTCAATTTGGTCTGGCTTACTGGAAAACATGCTTTGCCAGCGATGTTCCCCCCCCAAAAAAGGATTATATATCAAACCAAAAGGCAAGTGTCGCAATGTTACAAACCTGCAAGGTGGAACGGCATTCTTTGCAGCCTCAATTGAACAAATAATGAATGAGGTAAAGCGTGGTAAAGCTCAAAGCTCCGTGGAATTGTCAACCATGTCCAAACTCATACACTTGCATGCTCCAATATGTTCCAACAAAGAGTAGTGTTGTCTTCCAACCATGGCAAAAGGCATGCTCCGGATGATTAATTTGATGTGGCAAATGGTCGACACAAACATTAGGATGCTAGTCTACTAGAAAAGATCTGTCTTTTCCGCAAAATCCGGTCCCTCAGCAAATTCGGAATACATATTATAGAGAGAGAGGGCCAATGTATGTGTACATCGGACTGATAAACTGGTTGAATGTTTGGTGGATAAGGAAATCCTCCTTCACCACCAGCCATGGAAAACTCACAACAAGGTCCTCAATGTATTGAAGAGCAGGATTTAGAAGGCCCAATGACCCCGTATTAGAAGGCCCAAGGACCCCGTAGACGTATCGAAATCCCAAGTTCACAAGCCAGCTGAACTCTGATTGATCAGGCCGATGCAACTTCTTTAGGTGGCCCAATCGCCAGAGAGCTATGAGGTGATTGACCCTACGGACGGCCATCTCGGGAGACCCGAACTTGTGAAAAGAATGATCAACATGACAAGCGGTTCCTTGGTGTACATGCGGTTCCTGGGTGTACATGCGGTTCGTCAACCCTCAGTGGATGAACATGTGTTCTGACTCCTGGGAAAGCTGACTCCTGAACGGCGTTGTGCGATAGGACCCCTAGTGTTTGAGTTTCAATGTTGTTTGCTGGATCGTTTTGATGAGCACATCCAGGTGACAAAAGTTACCCCTGCCGCGGCAATGGCTGTGTTGGCACACGGGAAGTAGTAGCTGCCACCGGTGCTCTCCAAAAGACCTGCTGTGGCAGCATGGGGGGAGCAGGTTGCATTGCCTGCGCCTGTAGGGGTAGCATCACTGGCATGGCCACGGATGCGGGTCCTGGCCGCTGCGGAAGGTGTGGGACTAGCTTCTCGCAAACATCTGTAGTGGATGAAGAGTAGACGGCACACTCCCCAATGTCGGTACCCCCTTCATCTGTAGTAGATGAAGTGCCGTCCACTCTCAAACCGCTGTAGCTCAGGGTGCGCAAAGACTTTTAGCGGTCCTGGTGTTGTAACAGCTTCTAACATCTGAGCTACCAGTGCAAATGGGCAGCTTGTGCCCAGGCCGCCCAGGACGTTTTCTGCTTGAGGCATACAATTGCCAAGAGGATGTATAGAAAGGAAGTTTGATGTGTTTAAGCTATTTTCTATTATTTTCTAAGCGTTTTACTGGTTGTGCTTGGTGCAGGTTGGCGAGATACATCGAGGATCCTTGTCAAATGTTCTTGTATATCTAGATTAATAGATGTATATAGAATCTTCAACTGATCACCTTGCTTGAAACATGTTGAAACAAGAATGTTTCAAGCTGGAACATCCTCTTATATCTCTCTTGGATGCTCACTGCAGGCGCTTGGCGAGCCCGCCGCTACACATTCCTGCCTATCTTTCCAATGAAGATCTCAAGCCTTCACTGAGACGGTCTCAACCTTCAGCTTCTCTCATCCCATCCACTATGTTCTTCACATCGCCCTACATCCTTCCACTTCCCACGGCGCCGTCACGTGGTGTCACGACGAAGTTCTACGGCGCCGGTTCTCCCGCGGTTCTCCCGGGCCGACGCTCCTGGGACAGCTGGATATCCATGCACCGGGCTGCCCAGGGTCACTCCGTTCCCGTTCACCCACATGGTCGGCGACGTCGGGGACTCGAAGACGGGAGATGAGGCGCTGGACGCCCAGCTATACGGTGTGATCTCGACCTGGGCGGACGTGGCATGGAGTGGTCCGGAGTTCTTCTGGCCATGACGGCGGCGTGGTCGAAGTTTTCAGTGAGATGTTGAACAGTTCGATCAGTTGCCCCTTGTTGGGATCGTTTCCCGATCGTTTTCCTCCCCTTCTTCTCACGGGAAGACGGGGGGAAGATGCTGTCGCATCATTGACCGTCCTAGATTCGATGGGTGCCATAGTCCTCAGGAGCCCTCCACATGTTGGATGTTTTGATTGGCGCCACCCCCCAGGGCCGCCCAAGGAGTGACATTGTCCCAGCTGTCTTTCAGGTTCTTTGCATTTGGCCTCCGACCCAGCCATGCCATTCCATCATCTTTCATCTGAGGCACCACGGAGGCAGGACTCGTTGCGAAGTGCACCCGGCTATAGCGCGCGCTAGGCCCGCTGCGCGACTGTGGGGAGCTGAGTCCCGGAGAGGGGGAGCTCTTGCCCGGCGAGGGCGGACCCCGCAGGGCCTCCGGATACCCCACCTTGGAGCACCGGCGAGGGCGAGGGGGCCGGTGAGTCCCACAGGGCCGATGGGAGCAGAGTCACCCTATCCTCCTAGAAGTCCTAGAAGTATCTAAAAGTGCCCAAATACTGCATGAAGGGAGGAGGTTGAGATGTGCAGGAATCCTCTCTTTTTGGGGCACGGTTCTTTTCAAGCTGCAAGATCCGAGCCCTTCAAGGGTTCTGCAGCCACAAGCCCAAAAGCGGCTTCTGGAGAACCCTAGCTGGAGGAACTGCCATCCAGGTGGCCAACAAGTCCCAATCAGCAGGCATTTCGCTCCCCTCCGCATCTCTCTCTCTCTCTCTCTCTCTCGCGTTTTCTGTTTCAACGGCAGTGTTGTGGCTTCTGTTGCATCTGGAGGCGACTTGTTGGAGGTTGCTGCTTACCTCTCCCGGCGATGACGTGTGGGAGCCTTTCGCTCCTTGGAGCGTCGCACACCTCTCCCTCTCCCTCGCACCTCTCTTCCTGTCATCTCCTTCCTCTCACTGTGTGCCCCGCTGGACGCTGTTCTGCAACATCTCGACCTGAGCATCGGACTAGGGACCCACTGAGCGGCCGATCCGGATGCAGATCCTTCATGCACCTAATCTAAGAGACAAACCAATAGGATTCGGTGTTCCATAGGGCCATAGGGTTCCAAGTGGTCAAGGACTTCATCAACAGTGGTTGTGGAAAAAAATACTTGAACTTCAGTGCATCTGCATGTTCTCCTTGGTCGCGTATCTTTCAAAGCCTCACCAGAACATCATATGATCGACCCTAATCTCTGTCATGAACTCTCCATGCACGTCCGGGGCCAAACGTCTTCCACCGGAGGCCCAATGAGTCGGCACGGCGGACCTCCGGAGCGAGGACTCTCGTCCTCCACTCACGAAGTACAACAAAGGATGTAAAAGAAATGTAAATGGCAATTTCTCATGAGAACGATTGGGAATTCCAAGGGTGCCGTGTCAAATTCGGTCGAGAACCCGGGCATCGCGGTCAAGTATGAGCAAGTCTGACCACTGGCGGAGTTTCTCTGTCGGAGGGGCGTCGGAACGATGCGTCACAAGCATCCCCATACGTTTCACGATGGTTTCAACAGCATTCGGACAAACTTCGATGACAAGCCAGGTTGGTGATTGGGGAGATGATTTTCAGTTACCCTCCGAGTCACTAACATCGTAAGTAGAAAATGGATGCACATGGTCCGAACATGACTTTCCTTAACAGGCCGGGTTCGTGAGTCGGACGTCGGAGTGTACCAATGTCCCTCTGAGCTCCGGAATCGCGGAGCTAGGCTGTCCCAATATGACCGGTCTTCGATGGTCTTCGGCCCCGCCTGGCAACCACCCCCCTTAACGCACCGAAGGGGTCGGAGCCCGCGGTCTGTCTGTCGCGGTCGCTCGCCCTGACTCGGCACCTGCGGCTGGAGGCTCCAAGGTGACTCCCCGGGTGCGCCGGTTCTTGATGGGCAACCCACCAGGTCCTCCAGGCCTGAAGGCGGAGTGGAGGTGTTTTTGGTTGCGGGTCTGGTGAAGAAACATGAAAGCCACGTGGTGCCTCCTGTGTGTACCCTTGCAAGATGGAAACGATCTTTTTCACCCCATGCCTGGGAAAGTGACAGACGCACGCAATCTCATGAAAAGGACGTAAGGGGACAGGCAAGGCAAGACTCTCATGTTGGAAAGAACATGAAAGAACGAATTGGGCAGTCAAAGCATGCGGTCTGACGACCTCCATGAAGCACATTGCGAGTTTCAACAGGCATCTTGTGTATATATACTATATTACATAATACCTGAGTTCCACAACTCTCTCTCTCTGTCTGCAGGACGCCCTAGGTCGCCCAGGCCCAGGTTTGGTCGAGTGTGTTGAACGCATCCTGCCCCATCTAGACTAGACCCACACATCCAAGCTGCAAAGTCCTCACACAATCAGCCATCACATCCCAACTTCAACCAGCACTGCTTCTCGCCCGCAACCCAAGAATCCCACCCAAAACGGTCCAATCCCTCCGCGGCCGGGCTAGCTTGTTCTCAGCAGAGCGGCCCCTGCGCCGCGTCCGGCGGACTCAATGCCGCGCCGCGCAGGACGCGGCGGTTTTGGATCGGCAGCGAGAGCGGCGCCTTGGGATCCTCCTTAGCGGACTGGCCGACTGGGTGGCCCTGGGTGGGCTGGGCTGGGGAAAAGAAAGCCCAACCAAAGAGCATGCGGCATGATCCCATCAACTTTAAAGGAAGACTTTGTGACTTTGATCTTCACTTTTGGGGGGGAGCAGACATGTTCTCATCTTCGGACAAGCATCCTCTCTTCATGGAAGCTCACAAAACTGCTCTTTGGGAACACGCATCATATGGTTTCAGCTTCTATGCCGGTTTGGGGCCACAAAGTCAACACGTGACTCGCACTCAGACCAGGAACGTCAACGCACAGCAAAAGAATGAGCTGCTCTGGGCCCTGCAGGGCCCTACAGGGCCCTGCACTTGGTTTTCCCAACGGTCTCACAGCAGTTTCGACAACCCAAAGAACACACACAAGCAGCCCACCGGCATGGCACCAGCAGCTCTGGGTCATGGCGACACCGACAGGTTGACTTTCCCCGACGTGTCGGGCTCGTAACCACCGAACCTGAGGATATGGGACAGGAGCCCTAAGGATTCATGTGTCAACCCTGTCCCTGTGATTCCCTCCACAAAGACCAATTGTTGGTGCAAGACTGCAGGGTCAGATGGAGCCTTCGTGCAAAACGCACATAGTCTGATAATTATGCTGTTAGCCAAGAGGGGCATTCCTTGGAATGATCATGGAAGCGGATGCATGTGGATGGCATGACCCCTTGAATGAACAAACAGGGAATTTTACACTTCCAAGTTCATAAAAGGAATTTGGAACCTTCCATGGAGATTTGAACATGAGGTTTACTGTGCTGCTCGGATGGAGGATGGGAAAAACATGTTGAAGGTTCAAGAGCCGGTGGATTCAAACTCACCCGAGAGGTGTGTCGTTTTTGAGAGGGTCAAGCTCCGTCGATCATCCAACGATTTGCACCAGCCCCCAGTACCTCTCCAAGTCTCGCTCTGACTCACTGGCTCCTCATGGGAGTGGCTCGACCCCATTTCGCTAGCCGCTGGCGAGCGAGCGAGCTGGCGCCGTGGAATGGATCCGAATCAGTAAGTAAAAGCAGGTGAACTGCAGTTTGGTGCCTCGAAATGTCCAAGCCATTTGAGGCAGTTTTTTTGACATCGCACGTTCCGCATTTAGGAATTGACATGGCCAATTCGACTTTAGAATACGTCAAACAGTTTCAGGAAATCCACCGTTCGATCCTAGATCTGCGTCTTGTCATGTTGTCTACACTGCTCTTAGTTCATAGCGGGTTGACAACACACAGCGTGACGTTCCGATTCGTTGGTCCACCGGTGGACCACTGGACCGGTTGCAGGGTGCGACGACACGTGACCTCGACTTCATGTCTTGAAGCATCCTTAGCCAGTTGGGCATTCCAACTACAGCATCTCAAATATGGGCCAGCAAGTATCTTTGGGAGTCCTAGTAGCCCATATTTCCAAGATGTCTAGACTTTCTTTTGCAGGTCTCCACCCTGCTCGGCCGCGCTGGCAGCGTGTTCTCCCCCCCGGAGACACGCCCTCGGCGAGATGCCAGTGGCTGCAGGTCACACCCTGAGCCACTTGAGCCCGAAAAAGCAGCCAGGTGATGCTCCCTCAACACTGTTGGCGTTGAACATCAAGTGGTTGGCCTGTGCATATAGAACAACAAATAGAAAACGTAAATCCCCACTAAAAGCGTGTTGGAAACCGTCATCTATTTGGGGACCACTAATAACACTATGTGCTAAGAATTGTCGGTGTTGAGCCAGGTGTTCTGAGGGTAATTAAGGCCCCTGATCAAATCATTGTCAATACCCATGCCCAAGTTCGGCTCCTATAGACCCATTGGGCTTATCTTGCTTCCTGTGTCAAACTACCTTGAACCTGCTAGGGTTGATAGCGACAAGCACAAACATCGCAACGGAATGCATATTCCTCGGCCTGAAAAGGGCGCCCCGTATACCCCAATGGATCAAGGGTATGAATATGTATCCATAATCCATAAGAACCACCAGCGGCGAGTCTTCATCACGGTGTCCTGTCACAACTGGCAACTGGGAGGAATCCATGGGTGATCAATCGGTGATCGCCCCATCTCTGAATCCATTCAACGCCAAAAGAACCCTCCCACCAGCCACGCCCCCACAGAGCGGCTGGCCCTGTCCGTTCACCAGCTCGCTGCCACAAAAGCCGCAGGTGGGCAAGTTTTTGGTGTCCACTTGCCTAAGTGGCGATATTCATTTGGCTCTCACAGTCGGTGCTTGCAGCAAGGTGCTCAATGGCCCAAAACCTGTGCACGTCCTGCCCTCCAAGGGCTGAATTTCCGACACACAGGCGTGAAGGTCCTAATATGTAGTCATAAACAGGTGGTTGTTCACTTCCATGATGATTTCAGGGTGGAAGGAGAGGAGCACACATCCCCGCAACAAGTTCAATCATGCCACCCAAAATGACAAGCTAGTTGCGGAAGAACTCCTTGCTCTCTTGAGCTGATTTTGGAGGAACAGGTTGGCCTTTGCTTGATTTTTGGCCTGGACGATGCAGTCTGCAGGTGCAAAGGTAGACCATGGTACCTCTCCTTCCACCGCTTGCAGGACTAGACCTGCTTCTGAAAAATCGGACGATCGACGATGACTTCCCAAAAAGGTCAGGGATCGCAGGCGCTTGGCCTCGGTTTAGACTTCGTTTCTTCACGGAACCCGAATCGTCTTTGGGGCACGGGTTCGGACATCTGCCGAATCCCAAAACTTGAAAAGCCGGACTTTTACAAATCTCCGAATGAACAGATAAAATGTCAAATGACTCAAATAGATCACTTTAATTCTTTATCTATCTCCGAGAAAAAAGGGTCACCGGATTAACGTTTCATGTCAACTCTCCGAATCCCAAACTCTGCGACCGCCCAAGGGACTTCCGCAAGTGTGGTGGCAGATGTTCCAAGCTAATCTTACCACCTCAGATTCACGCGACGCACGGATCGGACGTGAGTGTCCTCCACCAGCCCAGCGGTGGCAAAGAGAATAGTGTGGCTGTGGGTCAAAAAACCGGAGGCCCTGACCACCGAAACTGAACAGAATAGATCACCGTGCGCACGGTCCACCTAGGGTGAGTTGACCGCGCCACCTGGCGACTGGGCACCCGGGTGCGTCTTGGAGGCACGGCAGTGTAAAGAAAGAGTCGGTTGAGAAACAAGAGGCATGCAATGATCGGAACACAGTAAATGAGGCAACTCCATATGTACATATATGTACTGTGTTGGCAGTAGTAGGGTAAGCTAGTTACAGTAGACTCAGTAGACTCTGTGGACTTATATCTTCTCCCCATGCAAACCCGACTCTTCGAGACAAGGTCCTGCGATCTTCAAAACACCAACCCACCAAACCATGAGGATCAGAATCATCTCCACCCTTCCGGGGACCCCAATCTGGGGACCCCAAAAGTCACCCCAAAGGAACGTGACACACTTCGCAGTCCTAGCGTCCATGTTCTCCCCAACCTGCCCAACCCGTCGTTCGCCCAACACCGATCGCCCAAACGGTCCAGCTGATCCCGCCTTTCCTTTGTGCTTCTAACATCTTCTAACCAAACCCAGTGTTCGAGCCTCCCAGAATTGAGGGGAACTGTTTGGGGAGAGAAAAATGAGAACCACGTTCCATATAATAATAGATGTTCCTTTCAAGAACTCCATTGACCTACTCTATCCTTCATACGGACCGCACCCGCCGACGCGCTCCACACCGAGCCACTTGGAAGATCGAGCACCGTCTGAGTGGAGCGAAGGAGAGTTTTCCGTTCCGACGAGTGGGCCCATCTGATATCGAAACAAATCCCAAAGTGAAGCCCCCAGGGCCCCACAATGCCTTGCAAATCCTTCCAATCTGCTGACTTGAGTTTCAATCTCCTGACTTATATAACTAATAGGGCTTATAATACTAGGGCTTATATCATATGAATTTGATTGAACTTGTATTTTTGGTTTAGGTTGATTGGGAAGCGCGGTATGAAAGCTTCCACCAAGCCCTTCTTTCCTTTGAGCTCTACCAGCGATGGTTGGAGCAAAAAACGTTTTTGGCCTCTCACTCGGGAGCCTTTTCCACGCCCTCGCACTCGCACTGGAGAGTCCTTTGCACTGCTGGGTCCACTTGGATAACCTACCAACAATACTTGCGGACTCAGTCTGAGGCGCTTCCCTCGGACCTTCACATGTTGCGGGTTCCGGGGAGTATGGTATGTACCAAAATGCAAGATGATGTACCTGGAAGGTCATCCGAGTAGGTCCATGCCATCCACATAGCCATGATGATGCCAGGGAGTCTACACGATTCATGGTGGGCTGATGAAGCATGATGAAAGTGAAGAAGCTCAATGAGGAGGGGAAAGAAACACCGTTTTTGTGGATGCTCTCCTGCAATCGCTTGTTTATGACTCCAGGGTTGGTCCTTACAAAAAGGACAGCAAACCGATGCTAGGCCTACACGATCCTACACAAATTATCCCACTTGTTTGCTTTTTGATGCTTCCGTTAAGTCTTTGCTAGCCCAACAACAGCTTTAGCATCCAGAAAGACAGCCCATGGAGGAAAAAAGGCAAACGACGTGCACCGTGCACATTTTTTCCTCCATGGTTTGCACATAAAACTACACGCCATGCCGGCTTCCCGCCCTCCCTGGCCCTTCCAACAGCCCCAGCAGCAGGAGGAGTTGTAGTGGTGGTGGTGGCAGGCTTGGCGGAATCCTCCTCCGCCTGCCGCATGGGCTGCATGAGGCGCATGCAGAATGGGGGTAAGCATCCTAGGACTTGCAGCTTCGTCTTTTCCATCCCAACAGGGTAAGACTTTCCGGCAAATCGTCAAAAAATAGTCCTTACATATCCTTACAGTAAAAGCATCTGCAAAGCTCCCCCCAAACAAAATACACAAGCCACCACGCTGCCCGGCACACCGCTTCCGGCACACCTTCTCCGTCTCCCAACCATTCAATGGTGGATGGGTGCCTCAGAGATTCAAGCCGTGGAGCGTTCCTCGAAGAACGCGGAGGAAAGGACTGACCGCGGCTGGGGATCCCTCAGGACACCCTTTCCGGACCGTAGATCAACGCGAATGGGGCGAATGGGCGACCATCGATGATTCGATGGGCCACACAGGGCCACACGCTCATCATCCGCGCAACGCGTCGAACGTCATGGTAGTGAAGGCGCGTGGTAGTGGTAGTGAAGGATAGTAAAGGCTAAGGCCATGACAGCAGGTGGTGACACATTCCTGCTGGCGCTGCTGGCGTGTAAGAAAGAATGGCTCTTCAAATCTTACCCATGAAATCCCATGAAGACCCTGCCACCCCCACCCTTGGCCAGCATGAATAGACTCCACAAAAGCCAACACATGAAAATCCTGCTTGCTTGAGAGATGGGTCTCGGCCGCGGGTCTCTCCTTCCGGCCGTCCCAAGTCCAGGTCTCACCCGAGCCGAGCGCTGACAATCCATCCAGCGCAGTTCGGCGCAGTTCGTCCCGGGAACCTCATCCACGTGTACCAAAACCAATGGCATTGAAGGTGGGGGCCCCAATTGTGCCCTGACCAAGTGCCCTGAGAGTGAGCGAAATCTATTTGAACGCTTCGGCGTCGGAAGAGGAACAGGTCTCGGGCCTAGGGCAATGCTGATGGATGTCACACCCACCGCCGCCCCAAACCCCCGGTCTCACAGGCTTGCACGTGCTCACCCAAAAGGGACCCAAATGAGATCAAGGCACCGTTGCACTCCCTCCCACCCATGAACCCGCAAAAACCTCCTGGCCCACCTCCGTTTCGGTTCGGTGGTTGGGGTGGGTGCCAAGAGGATTAATCGAACCACCGAACCTGAGGATATGGGTCAGGAGCCCTACGGTCCCAATACCTGTAAGATCCTTCAAAAACCCTGGCTCAGGCTCCTTCACGTCGGTCTTCGGCGCGTTGTCCATGTCGGTGGTGTCATCCGGACTCCCAGGCAGCGGGTATCCCGTGCCAGCTGGTCCAGTGTAGTACCTTGAGGAGCGGGGATGAATAAGAAAGCCTGGACTGCCCGCCTTCATCTTTACCTCTTCTAGATGCTCTGTCGAAGCCAAACTGCTGTTA